ATATATATATAATGGGAATCATATTCATGATTTTAATGAGGATTATCTCTACATTTATCAGTCTAACGTTACAACTAATCAGGGATCCCTTTAAAATTCAAAAACTTGTCCCTTCATTGGTTTTTCTTTAAGTTGCCTCCAAACCATTGTACTCTGTTTCCAGAACAGCACTAAATGGTATCCCAGCTGCCGCCTCAAAATCTTTCAAATGCACAAATCATAATTCATTTTATTTAAAATACAACAATAATGGACTGCACCAAACTCGAAGGAAAAGTACCAAAGACTGTACTGGACCATCCAGAAATATCACGCTAATGACGAGATGGCAGGATGAGGATGGTAAGCTAGGATGTTAGCTAATGTTAGCTTGTTGTTGATAACTTGGTTTTGGTATCTTGCTGCAGATGTTGTTTAGTTGAACTCTTGAAAAAAATTACAGCTGTTTCAAATGATTCACGTAAAGTTACTCTCATGTCTCATCTGTCTATGTTAATTAGGGCTATTTAGCAACTCAGGAGCTATGTTCTCTGTTATTGTGTTATTCTAGATTAAAGGTCTGTTCTGATGCAATTAGTCCAACGCATTTCCATGCCCCCCACATCAACATATTGACGCTTGGTCAGGTAGCCGTCGGCATCAACTTTCAGACGTGCCGGGTACCCCCCGCGCTTCCGTTCTTTACGAGATGAGGCGGAGGAGGATGACTCCCTGAACACAGACACTAAAATTAACCATTAAACCCGATCCCTCATGTTAACCTCAGACCCCCGACCCAAAGACTCCTAAGTGACGCAACCCGTAAAAGCCGCGGGCGGCAAGGACTGACACGCGGGGGGGCACCCGACGCATCAAAACTTGACACAGATGGTCCCTGCCCAAGCATCTATATATTGACGAGTCCGACATGAGAATGTGTTAATTAGTCAGGCACAATTTACTCCCCTTTTCCACTAGTGCCACTTAGTGTAGTGTCGGTATGGTTCGGTACAGTTCCAAGCCATTTCCATTAGGTCAGATTCATGGAACCGGCCCTTTTATTAGTACCTACTTCATTGTGGTTCCAAGCAGTCCCAGTTGACACGAAAATGCGACGTCAGAACACTGTTCGTCTCTGATTGGTTAGGGGGTGGAGTCACAAGTTGCGTCTAAGCTGCCTTTTCAAGAACAACTCAAGGAGCCATTTTTTCACTTGTAGCAGCGACATTAGTTGTGTTTCCATCCAATTTTAATTCAAATTTTTAGCAAATTTTTAAAATTTCAGAACTTATTCGGCAAATATGTTTCCATATCTAATTTTGCACAATGACTTTTTCTTCGAAAAACCCAAAAACCACCTCCACCAACTGCCCAAATCACACCCACTGGAACCGGACTGGAACGTCAGGGAAAAGCACCCGAACTGACCCGTTCTGACACTGACCGTACTGACACTACACTAAGTGGTACTAGTGTTGCGACTTATACTTTGAAGCATCTTACAGTCCGGAAAATATGGTATATGGATCTGTGCACAATAAATAAATCAAAGTGTTTATTTATGTAGGAAAAAACATGTTTAGCAACCTAGGAATAGCATTCAAACGTTTCTGGAGGAGGACCTCCAGACCCCCCACCAGTGTGTTCTCTCTGTTTTAAACATGCTTGACACCTATGATTTATGCACAGCTTGCATTATAACCTGCAAGATCAAGCATTAGCTTCAAGTTTGACCATGATGTCTAAGTCTGTCATTTTTCAATACAAGATGAACTTAATTTAAAACTATATGAAAGGTGATGGGTGACATTCCTTCTAGGAATGCTGTTGCATAAACCACTGTGACAAGTGCTTTAAGCAGCATCTACTTTAGACTTTATTCAGACAAGCTGTTAGTTTGAACAAAATTAAACAATTTTTCAACTGCAGTCTCTGAAAAGAATTATGAATGAATGAATGAAACTTTATTGAGCCCATGAAGGGAAATTATTTAAAGCAGGTGAGATAATAATTTTAACAGTCTTTTCACAGCACAATCACAATTAGAACAACACGCCGAATCTCTTGTTATGCATATCAGTTCACCCTAATCAACAGGTTTCTAAACCCTGGTAATATTGTTCAATAACAGGCAAAAGGCAGGTAATAATAATAATTATGCACTTTCACTTTTGTAGTGTTTGTACACTATTTTAGGGGTATTTTCCACACAGACAACTCAGATTCTGTACCATTTCATATGAAACCTACAGAATAGATTTTTATTTAATGAGGAAATTAACTGAATAAAAGGAAAAGCACACACAAAATGCAACCATTTTAAGGTGTAGCAACAATGTATGCTGACTCCTCTTTCACCGGAAAATATTTATTTTTACTTTGAGGATTTTTAGAATCCATCTGAAACCATGAATTAGTCCTCTTATAGTTTTATTTTGTGTGGAAGTAGCAGCTTGTTCTGAGTTTCTAAATTTGTGTTTGGCTGAATTGAAAGTAATATGTAATAATGAGCATATGAGCAGTGTTTGTGATGAGCAGACCACTCACCTGCCACCTGGGTTGAGATGTAGACCAGTAGAAAGGTAAGGAGAATAGTTTTGTCCTCCCAGAACATTTCTGAATGTGAGAGGAGCCAGTGGCTGCTGGGGAGCTTTAGTTAGGTTTGTTAGGGCTTAAAGCCTCTCAGCTGCTGTGTTCAGTCCTCAGATTGGTGGATGGAAGAAATCCCAGCTCTGTGAAGGAACTCTAAGCCAAACCTCTGCTTTAAAACTGGCAGAGAGCTGGTACAAAGCAGGGCCGGGCTGCAAGCAGACTGAGAATCATGGTCGACTGGTGTTTTTTTCTTAAGAAGGTTGCACACAACCACAGCAACCCCCCTTCCCCCATCTTTTCTTTTTAGTCATCACAGCCTTCTGGGAGACAGTTTCTCTTTCTGCCTTTTTTTCTTTCCTTTTATTCTCTCTTCGAGCCTGGGTTTGTAATGAGCCAAGCAATGGTTGGAGGTCTCTGCCTGCTGCTGAATCCATGACCCCGTTTGTGTTCAATGGCTATTTGTTTTAAAAGCTGGACTCTGGCCTGGCTGCCTGCTGCTCGGTGTGCACCACAAGCTTACATGTTTTGTGTGACTCCGCTTTAGAGGGAGGGAAACAGAGGAGGAGCGTCTCAGAGAGTGAGCAGAGGTCAAACTGAGAGAAGAAAATTAATAATCAGCTTATTGGTTTTTCTATGTAAGCTCTGTTATATAATTAGTCCTCTTTGTCGGGCAACCAGCCGAGCATTTAACCTTGTTCTCTCACAGGCAGGCTGCAGCTGACACATTTCCTGGAGACTTAATCCAAACTTAAATCTTCAGGGAAAGATTTTATGCTTTAAAACACAATGATTCCTACAGTGTGTCAACGAGGTCCAACAATGTCACTAATACCAGCGTGAGCACGCACAAAGAGACATAATCCTCTGAAAAGATGTGAAGGATATTAGTTGCAGCTGCAGGTCCTGCTGTTACTGTGAACTATAATCTAATAAGAAAGTTAAAGGTGCTTTATGGAAATGAAAACAACAAAAACAAAGATCTAAAAAATAGCTAATTTTCAAATTAGGGAAAATTTCTTTTTAAAGAGTTTTGATAGAATTTATTTAGTCTTCTGCTGAACTGTCACCTTATCGTCCCACTCAAGGAGTTTGTGTCCATGAATAATAATCGTTGTCTACCGAGGCAGATTGGTCCTAGGTGACAGGCCAGGCAAAGTGTGGTTCAAAACACTTATATGAATAAAAACAATCAAGGAGCTCAGTGTCCCTTGCCCAGATGTGGGTCACAGAGACCCCACCCTGGAGCCAGGACTRGGGGAGGGRCTTGTTGGCGAGTGCCTGGTGGCCAGGTCYRTGTGGCCCAGCCGGGCTCAGCCAGATCAAGAAACAAATGTTTTTTTCTGTGGGTTCACCACCTGCAGGAGGGGCCATATGAGTCGGGTGCATGWAGTCATGGGTAACCAAAGGCGGGGACCTTGACACTCTGACTCCAGCTTACTAAATCTGGCTCTTGGGACATGAAACGTCACCTCTCTGCTKGGGAAGGTGCCTGACCTGAGTGAAGTTGCCCCCCACRTTAAMTGAATCAAACAAAACTGGTGTCAAAAGTTTGTGCTGGTTTGTGCAGCAAAAATTTCCATTTGTGCCGCTATCCTTTTTAAGATATCAATAAAAGTTTATAACCGTACTTCAGCATAAATAAGTGAACATAAACTTGCTTACTTTGATACTGCTTTGAAGTTGTGAATTTAAGTGTTGCTGATGGCTATGGATCCTGAACTCTAGCTTTAAAAAGCTGTTTACATAGCTAGCACGTTTTCCTCAACTCTTATTTTTTCCTTGTAAAATGTGTTTGCTACCACCCCCTGGTGATCAAACTAGAGACATGTCACTGTTTTTGTTTTTTGACTAGTTCATCGTTAAAAGCTGAATTTTCAAAACAGCTGTTCTCATTCACAAATTCCACTGCTTTTGTTATCAAGGGGAGGAGAAAAAWCWGATTTTGATTGAAAAGGTATGACTTCAGAACAATTGAGAAATTGTATTCACTTTTAACGCTTCTGTTAGCATCAGCTCATAGAACTCTGCTGGACTCTGGAAAAGAAAGAAACTTTAAAAACCATAGCGGCACAAACAAAGATTTTTGCTGCACAAACCAGCACAAACGTAGCACAAACATTTGACACCAATTTTGTTGGATTTGAACAAGGTGGGGGGTGGGCAACTTCACTCAGGTAGGAGATCGAGCTTTTGTGCGAGGTTGAGAGGTGCCGACTAAATACAGTTGGGCTCACTTCAACGAACAGTATGGGCTCCGGAATCAATCTCCTCAAAAAGGGCTGGATCTTATCTACCTCTTGAGATGCCCAAGGTTAGAGGCACTGAGCTGGTGTAGGACTACTTTTGGTCCTCCAACTTGGTGCCTGAATGTTGGAGTTTTCCCCAGTAGATGAGAGGATAGCTTGTACTTTCTTGTGGTTCCGTGATGATATTCTAATTTTGGAGATACGTCACATAAATGTGTCCCATGACCCAAAGGAGACGAGGTGCGCTGCGTGTTCTGACCCACTACATGCTGCCAGCAGAGCTGCTAACAGGAGACGACGAACCAGGTATGATTTCAGTTTATTTAGCTCAGCAACGGTGGCCTGTGAAGGCTCATGTTTAATGCAGTTAGTTCGGTTAGAGTCCGGTCTGTATTCACACCAGAAGCAAACTGAAGTGAACCGCACCAGAGTTCTTTTGGAAGCGAACCGAGACCACCTCAAAAAGCAGGTCTCGGTCCAGTTGTTTGATCCGCACCAGAGTTCGCATGAGTGTATTCACACCTGCACAAAAGGTCCGGATCAACGCTGGAAACAAACTGTGGTTTGTTTAAAGCGGAGCAAATTATCAGGTCTGAATACGACCTAACACTGCTCAGTGAAGGCAGGGTGTTGTTTACTTCAACCTATTTTCGTGTTTCCATCCAATTTTAATTATAATTTTGAACAAACTTTTAAAATGTCGCAAAAAAAAAAAGAAGAAAAAATGCAAATCAGACGTGTTTCCATCAACTGTCTGGTTGACATCAGGACTTGGATGACTTAAAAATTATTGAATTTGAATGAGAAACAGACAGAATTTATGTTGTTTCCTCCTAACAGCACCAACCCCTGAAACCAACATGTGGAGATGGCATTTGTGTGTGTGTGTGTGTGAGTGTGTGTATATGTTAGTGTTTACTCCTCTCTACAGATCTGGAGTGGCTGGAGGCGGAGCTTTCAGTTACTCTCCTGTTGAGGATTCTGCTGATAAGCTCCTGAGAGTGATTCATTCCTTGCTGGATTATTCAGACACTTGGTCCTGCTTATGACGGCCACCTCTTGTTTCTCTGTAAACAGTTTTGAGTAATAGTTTGTCTCCCTTGTGTATTTTTTGAAGGACTCTCCCGTGAAGTATTTGGACCTACATGTTCCTGTGACTGGATCCTCTCGTTTACCTTCTGAAGCTGTTGCCTGAATCTCTCCGCATTCATCCTGCCGCTATCCAGCTGATCTGAAAAACACTCTACACACTCTCTGAATATCATCTACTTACCTCCTGGATCTTCAGTGTCTTCTCCTCCATGTCTSCCTCCTTTTCAAAACCTGTAAGGAAAGAATCATCAGCAGACTCTTAAGKTCAACTTCAAACCAGAAACTAAATCCTTACCTTGCCTCTCAGGAACATACCTGACCATCCTCTGCCGTAAAAAGAATCATCTTAACTTTTACTCCCTTGTGTTGTGTTCATTATCTGCTCTGGCTTGTATCTGGGTACTCCTATGTATTCAAACATTACACTACACTGACCTTTCTTCTCCCTTTAAGAGCTATCACAAATCTGAGAGTGGAAATTGGCTTCTTCCAAAACACTAAACAGTCATGCAAACATAATGGTCAAATTCTACTATTTTTTTTCAGTCGACTGTCCAAAAGAAATCTTAAGACAGTAATGTATGTTTTTTTTAACACCCTGGCTTGGCTACTGCAATGCACTTCTTTGTGAATTAATACTTTCATTGCTCATTAGAAACTTGTACAACATGCTGAAGCCTGATTTTAACTGCAAAAGAGAATCCATTCTCCCAGTTTTAACTTCCTGACACTGGCATCAAGTTCACTTTCAAAGTCATTTTAAAATTATTACCTCCGCCAAGGGGGGAGGTAATGTTTTCGGTTGCGTCTGTCTGTTGTTCTGTCGTTCTGTGGACAAAATTACTCACAAACCTGTGGACGGATTGTCATGACATTTTTACCACATGTGGGTATTAGCCCAAGGAACACACCTTAAATTTTGGTGATGTTCCCGATCATGACGCAGATACAGGAATTTTTTCTTTTAATTCGAGCGAATCAGCCAGGCTACGCAGTGTCATTGCGTCAGATGCATGCCTGTAGGAAACAGGAAGTACAAGTCACAAACTCGCTGGGACTACACATCCCAGGATGTCTACTAYCAGRAAAGTTGTGATTATTCTGTTATCAACTCTGGTGATGTTGCATGCTGTYTGGAGACRTAGAAAAAGAAATGCGATTCTCTTCAYGTTACGGGAATAGCGGGAGGAGGGTCCTGCTGCTGCCGAGCCGAAGCTGGACTGTCCGGAACAGCTGATCAACCTTGTGAGGGACCCCCTCCACATAAGAACTTTATTGTGTGATTGCTCTGAAGTTCGTGGGAGTGTTTGTGCTGAAAGAGCTCACACGCTGTATTTTGCTTCAATCACTCGCTTCAAAATAAAATAAAAAACAAAAAAACATCCATCCATCCATTTTCTGAACACGCTTAGTCCTTTCAGGGTCGCGTGGGTCACTGGTGCCCATATCCAGCAGTCACAGTGCAAGGGGCGGGGTACACCCTGGACAGGTTGCAAGTCCATCAGGACGCACTTTATAAAGAGAGTCAAACCATTACAAACTCATACAAGGGGATAAAACAGACGTTTTACACGGTGGAATGTGACTGATGAAAACTTAGGAGCTTAATCCCACACCAGTTTGACCATGAATAACGTCKGGTGAYGAGTCTGACTTTTTTTTCACTTTGGACTCCACTGAGAAGAAATCCTGTGCATACTGCTGCTTAAATGTTCACTACGACAGAACTTATTCAGCAAAATGTGTTTCCATCTCTGCTTTTGCACTTTTACTCTATTACAGGATGGGGGGAATTGGTCTTGGCGGAGGTTTGCGCTCTCTGAGTGTTTCTAGTTTTGTATGTTTTAAGTGTCCTAACAGTTCTGCCCTTTCTGAATTACTGTAGCCATATGTCCCACAGCTYTCTGAGGTCAGCAGATCAGATGCTTTACTGGTTCCACCCATGTGACACAAGCTCAATGTTGAGAGAGCCTTCTCTGCTGTATGTAGGTGAAATGATTTGTCATTCTATGTTAGGCAGATTCCTCTTGTTTAATAATACATTTTTATTCCCTGGCCTTTTACCCATTGTGAGTTGATCTTATTATGGTGTTTTTATTGATCTAGACATTCTAATTGTTTTTTTTTTTTTACCTCTATTGATTTATGGATTTCATCTTGTTTTATTTTATCCTATCTGGAAGCTCTACTTTTAATCTTCTGTTCAGTCTACAATGTCTCTATTTGCACATGTCCAAACCATCTCAGCCTCACCTCTCTAACTTGATCTCCAGACAACTCAAACTGAGCTTTCTCTCTGACTTACTCATTTCTAAATCTGTCTAAATATAAACCTCTTTATCTCTGCCATCTTGAGCTGGCACTTGTCGTTTTGTTTGTACTGTCTACAAACCACACTTGTTTTAGCAGGTCTCACAACCATCTTGAAAAGCTTTTCTTTCACTCTTGCAACTGCCTCTTTGTCACTCTGGCTGCCCAATCCGTACTGTCCCGGAAACATTGTTTTTAGCATGTAGCATTTCGCTAAACTGATGACAGAATTCATTCAATTTCAGTCTTTCATCACCTGCAATGTTTCATAGAAAAGGCAATGTTTGCAACAGCTGTGGATTTTTATTCCAGGAAGATAATAAAACTAGAAGCACTCGGAGAGTGCAAACCTCCACCAAGACCTATTTCCCCCATCCTGTAAGAGTTAATGCACAAA